TGTACACACGCACACTGGCCACTTTTCACCTATTCAACTGCTTGTTAACGCAAACATCTACTCAGCCCACCACATGGTCACACAGCAGCAACTCAATGAATGTAGACATGGTCAAGATGATCTGCTAAAGCTCAAACTGAACATAAGAATGGGGAAGAGAGATGTTTTAAGCGACTTTAAACGTGGCATGGCTGTTGGTGCCAGATGGGCTGGTCTGAGTATTTCAGAAACTGCTGATCTACTGGGATTTTCACGCACAACCATGTCTAGAGTTTATAGAGAATGGTCCGAAAAAGAGAAAATATCCATTGAGCGGCAGTTCTGTGGGCGAAAATGCCTTGTTGATGCCAGATGTCAGAGGAGAATGGCCAGACTGGCTGAACTGATAGAAAGGCAACAGTAACTCAAATAACCACTCGTTACAACCAAGGTATGCAGAAGAGCATCTCTGAATGCATAACATGTCGAACCTTGAAGCCGATGGGCTACAGCAGCAGAAGACCACACCGGGTGCCGCTCCTGTCAGCTAATAACAGGAAACTGAGGCTACAATTCGCACAGGCTCACCAAAACTGGACAATAGAAGACTGGAAAAAAGGTTGCCTGGTGTGATGAGTCTCGATTTCTGCTGCAGCATTTGGATGGTAGGGTCAGAATTTGATGTAAACAACATAAAAACATGGATCCATCCTGCCTGGTATCAATGGTTCAGGCTGCTGGTGGTGGTGTAATGGTGTGGAGGATATTTTCTTGGCACACTTTGGGACCCTTACTACCAATTGAGCATCGTTTAAACATCACAGTCTACCGGAGTATTGTTGCTGACCCTGTCCATTCCTTTATGAACACAGTGTACCCATCATATGATGGCTACTTCCAGCAGGAAAACAAGCCATGTCACAAAACACAAATCATCTGGTTTCTTGAACATGACAAATAGTTCACTATACTCAAACCCCATCCACAGTCACAAGATCTCAATCCAATAGAGCTGTGCTCCAAAGCGGAAGTCTGCAATCAACACCAAAAAAGTTGCTTCAGCACTTAGCACTTGTGTTGAAAACCAATGAAAACAAGTGAAATATTATAACACAGATATATTATAACACATTAATGAAGCTCAAATAAGATGATGGCACAAACAACACCAAGGTTTGATTTCCGGGAAGTACATGAACTGATCAAACGTATGCTTTGAATGTAATGTCAATGTCAGTAACTAGGATTGCATGATTTAAAGTTTGAAGCTGTTGTAAAATAGGTGGTAAAAACAGCTGTGATGGTGTGAACGCACATCGGTTGAATTCTATATTAAGGCGGCATGCTGTGATATTGTATGCCAGCTTTAAGCAACCTACTATTACACAGTATTCACAACATATGCATTAAACATAAAATGCTCCCACCAAAAACAAGTTGTCTATGCTGGAAGCACCCATTTGATATATATAAACATTATAGCAGAACCACTACTGGTTGACATTTCTAAAATCACACAGCAGTACATTGTCATATCTCTACAATCAGCTGCATGAAATAAGCTTTCTGGCATTTGTATGTGTCTTACACAAGACGCTGAGGGGCCGCTCTGTCCTCTTGTCTCCATTGGCGATGGACGGGTGATCCACCGCACAGGCGATCAGAGCGTTGTTATCGTTCCTAGTGACAGTGAGGGTGAGCTCGCTGGTTACTGTGTAGGTCGGTTCGTCAGGGTTAGACTCCACTACATCAGGACGCCCTACACACACACAAATACGAAGTAAACACTGTAATTATTGAACAACTAATGTTTGAGTTCAAAGCAGATTTCTGTCCTGACTGCGTGTGTGTTTTCACCTTGTATCTCCTCTTGATCGCGGTACCAGTGTAGTTTAGCAGGAGGTTTGCTGCCTGAACTCGTGCACGTGAGAGTAACCTTGCCGCCCTCCTGAACAGCATCTTCAAAACCTGTTATCACAGGCTTACCTGGAACACCTGTGAGAGAGAAACAGATGTAAAATGAAAAACATAACATTTTCAGGTGCAATTTAAGGGAAATAAGGGCATCGCTGGCTAGATAAAATGTAAATGAAATAAAAACAGTTATTTTCCCTAAGTAGCAGCTCACTATCAACAACTAGCTACTTGCTAATAGGCCTGCACGGAATTTGCACCAAATGAAATCTGCTCTGTAACCTTCTGCAGATTTAAAACGTCCATCATTCGCACCCCCTGCCCCTTGAATGTTGTTTTATATAATAATTTGGCAAACTGTATGTTTTTAGCTGCCAAAAAGAGTACAGTACTTTCAACTCTGTTTAACACATTTGACCATATTTAAATCAATTATGCAGATTTTCCCCCAAAACCAGTACAGAAAATGTGGAGAAGTGTGCAGGTTCCGCGTAGGCCTGGTCACATCAAACATGCTTACCAGGAGCAGCTGGTGCTTTTCAAAAGAGGTAAAGCAGAGATGTCAGTTATCAATGACAAAATGTATATCTGGATATTTTATGATTTGGGTATGCAACATGGGTCCTAAAATCAGTTGCAAGCATATATCAAACTTATATATATATATA